TTATAAACTGTATACAGTGGAAAAACTTGCAACTCGACAATGTCTTGGTGATCATATCAGCAACACTGTCATCCCGTCAAAACCTTCAGCACTTGGACTTCTCCATGTTCGATTATCTCTCTGACAAAGTGCAGCCTTTCATCGATGTGTTTGGTTAACTCATATAGAGTGAATTCTTCGACAAGTGTATTGCACTTTGACTGTCACATTTAACAGTGATAACTCGACCTTGAAGTTTCAGCTCTTTTGCAAAACCTTCAAGCCACAATGCTTCTTTTACAACTTCAGTGAGGGTAATATATTTTGCTTAAGTGGTTGATAAGGAAATAACTTTCTGAAGTGTTGCTTTTCAATTGATTGTTGTGCCGAACATAGTGAATACATATTGAGAAATATATTTTTTAGAATCCATACAACCTACATAATCAGAGTCAACAAATCCTTTGATTTTGACTTTGCTATCATCATGACAGGTTCTACCATAAATCAGGATTTGACTCAGATACCCATTTATGTACCTGAGAATCCATTTTAAAGTTTACCAATGCGCCTTTCCAAGATTGGCCATATACCTGCTTACAAGGCTCACTCCATACACTATGTCTAGTCTCGTACATACTATATCATACATCAAAGAACCCACTATACTAGCATATGAAATGCTACTCATATAGATTCTTCCAGCTTCAGTATTCATACTTTGCGTAGTACTAAGCTTAAACTGAGGATTTGTCGGAGTTACAACAGACTTTGAATTTGACATACCAAACTTGCTGAAAAGCTTCTGTAGGTATGTCTCTTGAGATAAACATAACTTTAACTACTTTCTATCTCTCTGGATGTCAATCCCAAGAATCCCGGTGGTAGCTCCCAGATCCTTCATTTCGAACTCCTTACTGAGTTCAACCTTCACCTCCATTACATCCTCGATAATGTTGCTAGCTATAAGGATATCATCCACATAAAGCAACAAAGTAACAAGTGAGTTTCCAGGTCGAAATCTGAAATAAACATAGTGATCAAACTTGCTTCTGGTGAAACCAATTTGTGCCATGAACTTTTTGAATCTCCTGTTCCATTGTCGAGGAAATTGTTTCATGCCATACAAATACCTATTCAACTTGTACACATAATCTTCCTTATCATTTTTTGCATACTCTTCATGACTTGTGATACATCTTCTTTGACCTGGTTTTAGGTACCGCAACCTATAACCTTTGACTCCCCGCAAGATATCCAAGGAACATGCATCTCAGAGCTATATGTTCGATCTTGTCTTGCATAATGTGAGTATAAGCTAAACTTATTGAGATCTGGTGGTTGACCCGACCAAACTTCTTCAGGTGTCTTCATTCCCAAGGCAGTCGAAGGACATCTATTTATCAAATAAGTTGTTGTCGAAACAACCTCCGCCCAAAACACCTTTTTCAATCCAATACTAACCAACATGCATCTAACCCTTTCAAGGATTGTTCGATTGAATCTCTCAGTTAATCCATTTTGTTAAGGAGTACCTGCTACAGTCTTATACCTTACAATCCTAGACTCAACACAGTAAATATTGAAAGCATCATTGCAAAATTCAAGGCTATTGTCGATTCTTAACCTCTTGACCTTTCTGCCAGTTTGAGTTTCGACCAGAACCTTCTAACTTTTGAAATTCTCAAAAGTTTCATCCTCAGTCTTCTGGATGAATACCCATAGTTTTCTAGAATAGTCATCAACTATGGATAGAAAATACCTTGCACCTGAATGTGAAGGATTCCTTGCAAGCCCCCAAATATCAACATGAATGTCACCATACAGAATTTTCCAAATACACAAGGTTCACAAAACTTCAACTTCTCGATTTTGTCACCACCTAGCAGGTTCTATTTCCCTAGTTCGACCAGGCCTCTTTCGCTGACATGGCCTAATATCATGTACCATAATTTTATTTTCGACACAGGTTTCGTGAATGCAAAATCGGCTGACCCACTTACAACGCTCAGGATACATCTTTCTTGTGTAACCTTCCTTCTTATAGTGATAAAACTTAATACCAGAAATATTACCACCATAAGACTTCTGCTAAATTTTACCTTTCTTTTTCTCAAACCTACCATCTCTCTTCGAGGATTTCCCTTTCACGAACAACCCTTCGCCAACTGATGATGATGATTTCTGCTCCTTTCTTTTGTTCAAATCCTTTGAATACAAGGCTGCTTGAACTTCTCCAAAGCCCAAGGACTCTCTTTCATACAAGAGGGTTTATTTGAAGTGAGCATACAACTTAGGTAAAGAACACAACAATAACAACACTTGATCTTCATCACTGATGGTAACATCAATATTTTCAAGATTAAGAATCAGTTTGCTGAACGTACCCAGCTGCTTCGTCAATGCTTTATATTCATTCATCTTGAATGAAGAAGAAGCTTGCTTCAAGTACAAACAATTCACCAAGGACTTTGTCATATACACTCCTTCGAGTTTCAGTCAAATACTAGCTGTTGTCATCTCCTTCAAAACCCACTTGAGAACCTTATCACCAAGACTCAAAACAATTGCATTATGGGCTTTCTCGATCATCACTGTCTTATCCTTTTCTATCAATGTATAATCCACATCATCTCCTCCCTTTAACGCTTCTAGAAAACCCCGTTGGACAAGAATGACTCACATCTTCAAGCGCCATAAAATCGAAATCATTAACTCTGGTGGACTTCTCAATTTCAAACTTTGTTGACGACATCTTCTCCATGCCCACCGCACCAGTTTGTTATGATCACAAACAATACATGTCAACAATTTCTTGAATGAAAAACAAAGTTTCTTGATGAACAACGAGACAATTAGGTTTCTGAAGAGAGAAGAAGAAAAGATAAAGAAGAAAGATGTAAGAAGAATTTTGGCAAACTATTTTCTATTCACTTACTCAATGTTACAAATGATTACAAGTGAATAACACAATTGGCCTCACTCAACAACCTGAGCGATCTAGCCTATTTATAAACTATAAGGTAACTTAAATGACAAGCTAACTTAAACAATTAGATCCTTAACACAAGGTCCAATTTGACATAATATTTTGACATTACATACTAGAACTGATTTCGACTACAATATGTAATACTTCGACATCAACATGTGAACAATCTTCGACTTCATGCTTGTCTCTTGTCGAATCATGAAAGCTATCCCAGTCGACACATCCCAGTCGACAACCCTATAGTTCAATTCAATATCTCACAAATCTCCACCTTGGATTAAACTCTACAAACAATCAAGGTCTATACTAGCTTTCATCATGCAACTTTATCAACTGCATATAGTGGAAAACTTGCAACTCAACAATGTCTTGGTGATCATATCAACAACATTGTCATCCGTCAAAACCTTCAACACTTGGACTTCTCCACGCTCGATTATCTTTCTGACAAAGTGCAATCTTACATCGATGTGCTTGGTTAGCTCACGATATAGTGAATTCTTCGACATGTGTGTTGCACAATCAATCATCTTAATATTAATACTCATGAATATATATGATACAACTTTGCTATGTATGACCATTTGAGCTCTTTTATAAGATTCACAACCTCTAGAAAGTAAAAATTGTCAAAAAATGGTATAAAAACATGTTAGTTGTTCGAACGCACTTGTTTATATCTGAACACTTTGTTTCAAGCAGCTTCGGGGTCTTCCTGTTTCATGGTAAAACCTTATGTTCTAAATCCTGTAACTTGAAAAACTCCAATCAAGTTAACACATACATGTTTTCTTCCTTATGTTCTAAGTATCAATCCATACGTGGGTCGCTCAAAAACTCACAGACATCTATTTCTTTAAAAATACTCTTATCCCTTTAAATATATATAAAAAACATCCCCAATAAAGTCATAGGAATATTTAAAACATAAAAGGGAAGTGCCTATTCCCAAAATAAAATTAAAACACGTCTTACGAAATTCAAAACAAATTTCATCAATAAAAAATAGTAAAATTATGAGACAATACCAATAAATAACATACTAGCATTTTATTATTTACAAATATTGAGCTAACCCTTCAATAATGATGATTAGACTAAAATCTTTAACATGACTTGCAAACATTGAAAAATTTATATTTCTGTCTTGTGATAATGTTATATTTTTACTAAAAAGAGTAAAAACATGTTGGACTTTAGAAACACCCATGAATTCTAATACAACTCTTAAAGTTAAAAGAGAATTAACCCCACACTCCCACTTAGATCATCAATCATCCATTAAAAAAAATCATTTTTTATAACTTAATTTGAGTATAGATTCAATTTTTTAAAAATCAATTTATTTATTTCTAATGCTAGATCTTGTCACATCAATCAAGTAAAGATATAGTACTAGTATCAATCAAAAATAAAATCAAATGAAGATAGTAGAGTAATATAGATTCAAAGTGAAAAAAACATATAGTAGAAGAGATAGTGATTAATATTTAATAATTTTATTTTTACTATTATTTTCCCTCACCAAGTCCTTGGTCGGCGCAATTTATTAGAGAGCGGTTCTTCCCCCTAAATACCCTCTCCAATACAAAATCATCATCACAGTCACCATTGCCGAGGAAGACTCCACCTCCGACAAACCTTCTCTCTATCCACTCACTGCTGCAATACAGTGTGTATTGTGCCCTGTGTAAGTCTTCCTATCGGTTTTGCTTTCAACATTCACCAACCAATTTCACTCACTACGTGTACTTTACTCTTGCTCTTCAGCTCACCGATTGATTGCCACAATAAAGATTGTTGGAATTTTCATTTGTGTTTGGGAGTATTTATGCTGTGATTTGAGTTGAGATAGTTGGATTAGGTTTAAGTTTGTTGATTATGTGTTGGGATTAGGATTGTGGTTGAAGCATGGTTTTTAACTTTATTATGATTTGGAAGTGGAGAGTTAGGGTTTGCATTAGGTGTTGCATTGGGAGATTGAAGTAGGGTTAAGGTTTTGTTGGAAAGCTAGGGTTGTGTTGAAAATATGGATGGGGAAGATATGATTTCTGGGAGTAATAATAAAAGGACTAAAGAGATGGAGGATGGTACTGATTTTGATGATAATGAGATGATATTTAAACTGAGGAAGCTGCACGGTGTGAAAAAGAAGGTTTGCTTGGCACCGGAGGAGATGTGTGGTAATGGAGGAGGCGAGAATGCTGACTCCATTGGGGAGCTTGTTGATGTAGCACAAACGGATTTGGGAGGTATGGAGGATACCCTAGCTTGCTTTAGGAAGAGATTGAAGGGTCCTAAGAGAGAACGGGGTTCTAGTGATGCAGGAGGGAATGTGTCTACTTTGAATGTGGTGGCGGAGTCTTCTGATGGGTCTTTGAATGTTTCTAGCCAGTATGAAGGTTTGGATGAAAGATCTTCGTTGAATAAGGACAGTGTGTGTGAGGGGAGGGGTGTTGGGGATAATGGTTCTGATTTGGATATGGATATGGATATGAAAGTAGAGAGACCTAATGTGAAGTTGGCACTGAAGGGAATCGAGGATGGTGACATGTCTGAAGGTGATTTGGTTGTACAGGAGTCTAGAAATACTCCAAAAGATGAAAAAGGGGTTTGTGTTTTGCTTAATGTTGGAATGCAACACTCTTCTGAAGAAACAATGGGAGATTCTTTGCCAGAAATGTTACGAACAGCACAATCTAGTTTTGTTAGTAAGTCTGGTACTGCTGTCAGTTCAGAGCAGAAATGTGGCAGGAGGGGCCAGAATATGAATGATGGGTTGAGCCCTGATTCCAGAAGTGCCAGCAAAACTGCTGATGGTACTCGCGATTTAAACATTCCTGATGGGCCATTAGCTGATCCCTGTTTACCAGCCAACATCTGCTATGGAGATAGCCAGCCATTGTCTTGTGAACGATCTGAAGGTATTTGTTCACCTTCTGACCAAAAGACCACACTACAAGAAATAATTTGCAATGATGGTTTAAAGAAGTGTTCTGTCGTATTGCATGATGTTGAAGGAATCACCGACACCATGTCTCTTCCTAAAACGGGGGAAAGGGTGTCTCCAATTATTGAGGGTGAGCTAAAGAAAAGATTGACTGCCGACCAAGTAGAATTGTGTAATATTCCTTCAAAATGCAGCGATTTTACGTCCAAGGACAAAGAAAAGTTCTCCTCTTGTGACTACAAGCCACTGGCTAGATCATCCGAGAATATGCCGTGTGGAAATAATCATCAGGTTTCTGAAAAAGCATTACAGGGATCCTCAAGACATGGAGTTATGTCGTTCTTTGGATGCCAACCAGAATTAGATGTAGGTGTGTATTCTGAAACTAAGTCTGTCTCTGGCAGAAGTTGTGGTGAGCAGAATATTACTGATACAAAGGATGAAGTGCAAGATTTTGTTTCAGGTGATTTATTGAAAAAAGATTCTGCTGTTTCCGGTGGTTGTTTACATCCTACAGTGTCCAATGAAACTAATAAATCTGAATTGGCTGTTCAGCCGAATCACCCAGAGATACCTTCAGAAACACACAATATTCCAAAGGACTCTGAGGCCTTTATTCCAAAATGCAGTTTGGTATTAGATCCGACTCAACCTTCCAAGAATACATTTGAAAATACTTTTCTTGCAAATGGTGATTGTTTCCATGCCAAGAGAGACTCTGAAGGTGCCTCTCAGAATACAATTCCAGAAGAGAATGAGAATTCTGCAGAAAATGATGCCTCTGTGTCTGAGGTAGCCAACTTTGATGATAAGACATCGGCTGTTATTCGCCGTAAGGCAAAAAAGCGCCGGCATGGAGACATGGCGTATGAAGGGGATGCTGATTGGGAGGTTTTGATAAACGACCAAGCTTTTCTTGAAAGCCAGGGTGTTGATGGTGAGCGCATTCTTAAACCAAGAGGGAAGCTTGAATCTTTTTTGAATGTTGTTGAAGAGTCTGAAAGTGATGCAGTAGCAGTATCAGCTGGATTGAAAGCCCATGAAGCTGGTCCAGTTGAGAAAATAAGATTTAAGGAAATCTTAAAGCGTAAAGGGGGTCTCCAGGAATATTTAGATTGCAGGTCAGTAGATAAACTTTCAAACAGGTTTTTGCATTTGCTTACAATTGGTCTTTCATAGTGTTCGGAAAAGTTGCGCTGCAATAGAAAGGTTACTTTCATCCGTATCAGTATTTTGGTTTTCATGGTGTATTGTGCTTCAAATACTCACAGCTGTTTTACATCCTTTTAGAATGTTGATTGAATGTGTTAATTATTTTGGTTGCTTAAACATGAAATCAAGATATTAAACTGTTGAGTGCACATTGAAATTAACAATAATGACTTGATCTATTATCATTTTGGTATGCTTTTTGTAAGATTGGAGTAGGTTCAATTTCTCCCAATTTATGGCCTACAATGTAATCTTATATAAATAGGTAAATGTTCTTCTACAGGCCTGCAAAACAATTTATGTCCAATCATTATGGTACAATACCAGATGTTCTGGACCAAGTTACTAGTATTTCTTTTTTGGCTTAAGCTTATTTAATTATTCTTAATATATGATTTGCTACAAAAGAACTATTTTTCAGTCAACATGTCATTAGTAATTTCTCCTTTTTCAATGAGAAAACAAATTGTATTTTTCTCTACTCTATTATTTTCAACCGTGACAGTGAATCAAATTAGCAATGTACTTATTCCCTTTTTCTTCTGTAACTGGCCTCTTATAGATTCACTTCTATGATTGAGAATTTTTGTGTTGGTAGAAATAAATAATAGGGAAAAAGGATAGGAAGTTAGTAGTTATTCAATGATGCCTTTTTGTTGATTCAAATCCTTTTCACTATTTGGCCATTGCGTGTTTCTGAATTTTATATTCTCTGGTGATGCATTGCTGTGGCCGAGGGCAAGGTTCTTCCTCCTATATTTTCCTAGAAATCGAAAGATTCAAGAGATGAATACTTTTCTTAAATATCGACGGAATTATTTTAGTCCTTTTTTTTATTGATTTTTAATTGATGATCAATTGTATATATATATATATGGTATGATTATGAGTTCCCCTTACCTGTTGCGGTCATTTAAATGCAATTAGAATCTCTCTTTCTCTCCTTTGTTTTTTTTTTTTGAAAAAATTTCTTTATTGCTATCCTTAATTATTGTTTCTTATTTCTTTCTATTCAGAAGTTCTTCACCGTGCTATTTAACACATTACTTGTTGCACAGTATCATCCTTGCTATATTTTTCTTGATTAACTTTTAGCTCTGATTTACTCTTTTATTTGATGTGATTTAATTTTTAGTTTCTTTTTGCTTCTTGCTCTCAATCAAAATTCTTTTAAATAATCAACCTTAAAAGCTTCAAGTGAGCATCTTTAGAAACGACTTAGCTTTGCTGTAAAATACTTATACTTCTGAAGCTAGGATGTACCGGATTCAGCTTATGGCTTATGTTTATTTTTAACAGAGATTTTTGCTAAAAAGATGGAAAGCCTTTTCTTATAAGTTATACTTCTTTGTTTTTATTCAAAAAGATACATTCTTCATCTTTTAATCTATATACTGCAGAAATCAGATACTAGCTCTTTGGGGCTGTGATATCACACGTATTTTGCTACTTGCTGACTGTGGGGTTCATGATACTCCTTCTGAGGATGAACCTCCCCGCTCTTCTCTTATTAGGGATATCTACACATTTCTCGATCAATGTGTAAGTCTGTTCCTCATGTTATTTAGCCATCGATTGTCATTTTGTTTGCTCACTTAAATGTATACTTTCAGTTTTTTGTTATTATTAACTTATAATAACTTTCTTTTTTGGCAAAAACATACTGTGTCAACGTTGATATCATCGGAACTTTGTATCATATTTTTTTTCCAGGGTTATATAAATGTTGGAATTGCTTCTCTAAAAGACAATATTGAAAGTAGTGCAAAGAATAATTATACACTTGTAGGAGAAAAAGGATATGAAGAAAGTTATACAGCTTCTGTTGCTGACTCTGAAGATGGAGTTTCCTTTATTGTTGGTCAGACTAAAAAATCAGATGCTTCTATAGAAACTAAGTGTGATGGTATAGTAGGTAATGCATACCTGGCAACTGAAGCTACAGAAGACAAGATGAATGTTAATATGGTGACAATGGATGTATCAAACATGACACAACATGAAGAAAGAAAGAGTGATGATTGCCAGGAAAAACGTGGGCACGGAAATGTTACCAGTTCTGAGCAAAGAAATGAGTCTACCTGTGTTAAATCTGTCTTGGGTGATCAGATGGGTGATATTCTGAACTCTGATTCAGAGGTTAGAAAGAGAGTGATTGTCATTGGAGCCGGTCCTGCTGGTCTAACTGCTGCTCGCCACTTGCAACGTCTGGGATTTCCTGTAACTGTACTTGAGGCTAGGAGTAGGATAGGGGGTCGAGTATTTACAGATCGCTCATCTCTTTCCGTCCCTGTGGATCTTGGTGCTAGTATAATCACTGGTGTTGAGGCTGATGTGGCTACTGAGAGAAGACCAGATCCTTCTGCGTTGGTTTGTGCTCAGTTGGGTCTTGAGTTGACTGTGCTAAACAGTGACTGTCCTCTATATGACATAGCGACGGGACAAAAAGTTCCTGTAGATATGGATGAAGCACTGGAAGCTGAATACAATAGTCTTCTTGATGACATGGTATTGCTTGTTGCCCAGAAGGGTGACCAGGCCATGCGAATGTCCCTTGAAGATGGTTTAGAATATGCCCTCAAGAGGCGGCGTTTAGAACGCTCTCGAAGAAGTAACAAACAAAATAATTACGCAGATGGTTCATTTGGTTCAAAAAGAGGCATAATCCATGGCAAAGAAATGGAAGAGGTCTTGAGTCCTCTCGAAAGAAGGGTTATGGATTGGCACTTTGCTAACTTGGAGTATGGATGCGCTGCTCTGCTGAAGGAGGTTTCTCTTCCATACTGGAATCAAGATGATGTGTATGGAGGATTTGGAGGAGCTCATTGTATGATTAAAGGGGGTTACAGCACTGTTGTCGAATCTTTAGGAGAAGGGCTTGACATCCATTTGAACCATGCTGTAACAAATGTGTCTTATGGAAGTACAGAATCAGGCCGGGGTAATAAAGTCAAAGTTTCTACATCAAATGGCAATGAGTTCTTTGGAGATGCTGTTCTGATTACCGTTCCATTGGGCTGCTTGAAGGCTGAAACTATAAAATTCTCTCCACCTTTACCCCCATGGAAATATTCTTCCATTGAGCGTCTTGGATTTGGAGTTCTCAATAAAGTGGTCTTGGAATTTCCCAGTGTGTTTTGGGATGATGCAGTTGACTACTTTGGAGCAACAGCTGAGGAGACAAGCAGAAGAGGCCACTGCTTTATGTTCTGGAATGTCAGGAAGACAGTGGGGGCTCCGGTCCTCATAGCATTAGTGGTTGGGAAAGCGGCCATAGATGGTCAGAATTTAAGCTCTTCCGATCACGCCAACCATGCGTTAATGGTTCTCCGAAAACTTTTTGGGGAGGCTTCAGTGCCTGATCCCGTTGCATATGTTGTGACTGATTGGGGTAGGGATCCTTTTAGCTATGGTGCTTACTCTTATGTTGCTATTGGAGCATCGGGAGAAGACTATGATATATTAGGGAGGCCAGTTGATAACTGTTTGTTTTTTGCTGGTGAAGCAACCTGCAAAGAGCACCCAGATACAGTTGGTGGTGCAATGATGAGTGGACTCCGAGAGGCCGTGCGCTTAATTGACTTATTTAGCACTGGAAATGATTATACCGCAGAGGTGGAGGCAGTGGAGGCTGCACTGAAACAGTCGGATACTGAAAGAGAAGAAGTTAGGGATATTATAAAGAGACTTGATGCAGCAGAGCTTTCTAACATTTTGTACAAGAAGTCTTTGGATGGTGCTCGAATCTTAAGCAGGGAAACTTTACTAAGGGATTTGTTCCTAAATACAAAAACCAATGCTGGGCGTTTGCATGTGGCCAAACAGTTGCTACGTCTTCCTGTTGAAAACTTGAAGTCCTTTGCTGGAAGTAAAAGGGGGCTAAGCATTCTCAACTCATGGATACTGGTACTACTGTCTCATTGGATGTATTATTTTCAAATTTGTTCAACTTCTATTTATAGTGCCTGCCCCTTTGCCATGAAAAAGTAAAACATATTTATCTTGGGTGAGTTAATTTCATAAATTGTGTTTGATAGTTTATGTTTTAAACAGGACTCAATGGGGAAGGATGGCACCCAACTCTTGCGACACTGTGTGCGTCTTCTTGTGCTTGTTTCGACTGATTTACTTGCTGTGCGCTCATCAGGTATCCATGCTTAGTGTTTTGGGGATGTGTTTTGCATGAAAATGTGTATTATGTTTCAAAATATAATTTTAGGTTGACATCAACTTTGTTGGTGGCTTTCTTATGATTATCATCACTGTTTGGTGATCAGCAAAGTAACATTGTGAATTATCTAGTGATATATATGTTTATGTTTCAGTAGATTTTTCTGTCCTGATGGGGTTTTATGTGTAAAAAAGAGTTTGGTAAATTACTTAATGAAGCACTTATTCTGTAAGCGCTTATTATATATAGGCTTATGTATAAACTATTTATATAATCGAAGAGGGAATGAGGATTAACCCTAAGTGGGAAACTTATAAAAATAGGTTGAAAACACCTAGTGGGTATTTTGAGAAATAATTTTTAAGACATTCTAAACACTTCACGATTACTATCATCATAAGATATTTCCAAATGAGCTCTTCCAAGGGGCCATGTCTTATGAGAAAGATTTATTTTTGATTTTTGATTTTTATATGAGAGTGGGAGGAACAATTATCAACCTTTAAATCAAAACAAGACACGTCTCTCATTGTATCCACTCATTACCCATGCACTTTTCATTTTCTCCAACCCACTGTCTCATATCATAGGCAGTAGCGTTCTTCTATGTGACTATATGGCAATATGTTCAGATTAAAAGAAACCCCAGAAAGGAAAAAAGAACAACTGCCTCGCTCACTTCAAGGGGTTTCAGCATCTCAGTATCATCTTATTTGTATTTGAATAACCAAAATATGAAACCCAACCTAATTTTATGGTGAGAAATTTTAACTTTCTCTCATTAAAGTAGATAATGTTGCTAATTGATTGATCAACCATAATCAATAAATTTTCTTAGGATGTTCCACAAGTTTTTGTTTGCTTATATGGCAATTTGAAGCAAATACGGCTTGCACTAATGAGTGAATTCCAAAATTTTGAAGAATGGAACCTATTCTCTGTAAACCAATTTACAATATAATAATAAAAAAGAAGCATTGTTTATTTTTACTCATCAATTGAAACCCTTGTGGATCTCAGTCCAACATTAATGGCGCTGAAGTCTGATGTCAGCATAAACAGCAATGGGTGTAAGGCATTGTAGTGGGAATGGGTAGAATAAGGAGAGACACATGTGTGTTATTTGAAATGAGTGTTTTAATCTGTACCATCTATTTTGATCTAAAGGTTAATAATTGTTCCTCTCTCTCACATAAGAAGCCTCTTCCTCTCTAGATATACCCCTCTTCCAAATGGCTTGTTAATATGTTATCCACAGTTTCCTCACTATTTTGGCTTAACTTTTCTATTATTGGTGTAGGCATTGGAAAAACAGTGAAGGAAAAAGTTTGTGTACATACTAGCCGTGATATTCGTGCTATAGCAAGCCAGTTGGTTAGTGTATGGCTTGAAGTCTTCCGCAAGGAAAAGGCATCTAGTGGAGGACGAAAGCTGTCAAGACAGGCCAATGTTGTAGATATATCAAAGAGAAAATCAATTAACGATCCAGCATCAGGAAGACCACCTCTGAGTATGCATCATAGTACTTTTGAGGATAAAGGAAGCATATTAACTCCTGCAATCAATTCAGCCTCCATTGCACATATGAAGAAATCACATGGCAAGCAAGGGAGCCAGCAAGCGGCAAATGACTTAAGGTGTGATGTCAGTTCTTCCAAATCCCAAGGTTCGACAGGAAAAATTGACACTGAGATGAAGGATACCCACTGTGCTATGTCCGAGGAAGAAAAGGCTGCTATTGCTGCTGCAGAAGCTGCTCGTGCCAAAGCACTTGCTGCGGCTGAGGTTTGTTTCTTTGAAGCTTTAGTTCTAATCTAATAATCTGTTGGTATGTTTATGGCGCTTATTTATATCAGTTAATACTTCAATAAACATGTACTAAAAATACCATGGGCATGTTAGAAACCGGTACCAAATCACAATTTAATTGTAGAAACTGACTTTTATTGATGGTAGATTATGTTTACAGCAGAAACAGATTTACACACTATAGAGAACGCACAATTCACACAAAAATTATTATATTGATATTTTTCAATTTTTCTTTTAGTTTTTAAAAAGATCAAATTTTTGTATTATATCAAATAGTATTAGTATCCATGCATTATAATGCACAATCAACTGATTAAGAATCCAAAGATCATTAACTGTCTCTTGACAGGTTTTATGTTTCCCCAAAAGATTCAGTAGTTTTTGTTCATTGCAGGCATATACTTCTGCTGAAGTTAGGAGCAATACGCAACTCCAGCTTCCGAAGATACCCTCATTCCACAAATTTAAGAGTCGGGAGCAATATTCACAAAATGGTGAGAGTGATATTAGGAAAAAACGGTCTGGTGGTATCTTGTCGGGAAAGCAAGATTGTATTTCCGAGATTGATTCTAGAAATTGCAGAGTTAGGGACTGGTCTGTTGATTTCTCTGCTGCTTGTGTTAACCTTGATAATTCCAGAATGTCAGCTGATAACCTGTCACAACGGAGTCATTCAAATGAGATTGCAAGCCATTTGAATTTCAGAGAACACTCGGGAGAAAGTGTTGATGTGGACAGCAGTTTATACACCAAAGCCTGGATTGACTCAGTTGATGGCGAGGGAATAAAAGATTACCATGCCATAGAGAGGTGGCAATCTCAAGCAGCGGCAGCTGGTTCTGATTTTTCTAATCCAGCTATACATTTGAAACACGAAGAGGATTCAAATGCCTGTTCAAGGTTACCCAGCTGGAAGCATGATGGAGTGGCAAATGACAGCTCTATTTCACAGATTACTGTGAATAAGGAGAATTCAAAAAGCCATTCTCATAATTCAAAAAGTCATTCTCGAGGAGCAGATCGTATCAAACAGGCGGTTGCGGATTATGTTGCATCTTTACTCATGCCTCTGTATAAGGCAAAGAAACTAGATAGGGATGCTTACAAGGCTATAATGAAGAAAAGTACAGCCAAGGTGATTTTTTCCTGTCAATGTTTTGCTTCTCCTTTCTAGAGTATGCCTTTGTCAATACTTTTGTCCATTTCTTATGTTACTGGGATTGAGTTTCAGGTCATGGAGCAATCCACAGATGCGGATAAAGCCATGACTGTTCACGAGTTTCTAGATTTCAAGCGGAAGAATAAGGTACTTTGGCATTACTTATTGTAAATTTGTGCAATAATCCTAATTTTGGAATGATCATCTGCTTGCTTTTAACCATTAATTCTTCTCATTGACACTGAATTTGGGCTGGATGCTTAACACATGCAGATTCGACCTTTTGTGGACAAATTGATCGAGAGACATATGGAAATGAAACCAGATGTCAAATCTTAAACTTCTTACATTTCGGTTAAAAGGTTTCAGAAATCTGTTTCTTCTTGCGATCTCATCTCTCAAGAGAAACCGATAGTCTATTTTGTTCAGCTCCAATGAAGTGGAATGCAACTTTCTTTCAGCACTCTTGCAGCTCAACAGAATACCAGAGTACTCTGCACACATGCTTTACTATTTAAACTCAAAGCTCAATGCAAACACTAGTTGAATCCTTTGGACGCCAAGCTTCTGGAACTTTGTATATGACAATAGAATCCATTAATCCCATCTTTTCATCTTCACCTTTTGTCAAGACTGTTCCCCCTAAAGGTTGAAAACCTAATACCCCATTTTTATTGGAGGGTTTTGTTTTTCATGGACAAAGACATGACTTGACCTTATGAATTCCTTCTATTTGTACAGCTTAGGATTGTTTTAGCGCTGACAAGTATACATATCCATTTCACTGTGGCCTGTTAGAACAAAACATTGTTCGAATTTTGAGTCCAAAATGAATTACTAACTTTATTTCTTTCTCCAGAATGGGGAAAAAGCTATGCTAGCTCTATGAAATCTTTGATTCACCATTATATTTTTTGCTTAGTTCCATGACATTTGTTGTGTGTATTCTTATGTTGTATGTCAAATGTGCTACGGAAAATCTAGAATAGCAGAATCGCCTAATCAACAGAGAGCCACAGTAATTTCAGCTCTAATTACATTTTAAAGGTTTGCAGCATGAGACGGCCCTATGCCCCTTTTGAATCACGCCGTGTATAATCTAACATTCTCTTTGTGATTATGCTTATGCCTTTTTCTGTTTGTTGGTGGTATACTGAGAAAGATCAAGTCAATCACAGATGGGAGGGATGTAATTGAGGAATTCTCTCATTTAGTCCTTTACATGTGATTTGATTTTTATTGCTGCTCATACCTTTGTGATACCTTCTGTATGTTTATTTTGCAGACTGTCTTGGGTACCAATCAAATGTGATCTTGGACTGAAAAAATGGTGCTACCTGGGAAACTAAATTCCACTGGTATCTTTATGGGGTGAGTAAGTTTTTGTCCTGAAAGCAATTTTTTTTACTCAACCATTTAGTCAAGCTAATGATTTTTCCTAAAGCTGCTCATCAGCACCATAAATTGTTTTTTTATTGGAGTAATTTGATATTTTTTGGCTGCATATTGCTGGAAAAATCATTATAATGGTTGTCCAAATCAAAATTTTATTTACTAGGACAATGTCTTAGTTTAGCATAATCCTTGTTGTTAAAGTAAAGATATTTGTCTCTGACAATTCAACTTAAATGATAGTTGTATGGACACATGATTGCAAGAGCTCGAATCTGCGAGCAATGCAATTGCGAGAGATTGAATATGCAGGAGTTCAAATCCGTTAGCAATGGCAAGAGTTTGAACATGCAGCTTCTCAATTATTCATTTTTAATGAGTCAAATTTTATCCACTAAACTAGAAATTAATAAAAATGAGGATTTCTTAATGCATCTTATATGTTTCTTAAACACCACGCAAAAATATTAAAATGTCTTTTAAATTTTGAATATGCATCTCTGAACACATCCGTTACACACATTTCATTTGTTTTTAAATTACATCTCAATTTTATGAATAAATTTATTTTGGAATACATCTCCGAAAATGTATTTCCAGCCTAGCCATGGAAGAACCTTTCTTTCTCTTCAACTGCATTGCCAATTTTTTCTGTTAATCAGGATTGTCTCTAATCTTTCTTTCCTACTCTAACCACACCCTTTTACTGTTCTTGTATTATAATCAAAGAAAAAGTTTAACTTAGCTTCAGATGAATAAATAAAGCAAAAATTTTAACTTGGAGCGTAGTTATGCCTTACCACCGTTTTTGGAATACATTTAAGCAAGTTTGGAAATGTATTTTCAAAAACTTTTCGTAGATATATTTTTAAAATAAATTTATTTATAAAATTAAGGTGTGATTAAGAAATAAATGAAATATATGTATTAAGGCGCATTTGGTTATATTTCTCTGAAAATTAGAAGTATTGTATTATTTTTGTGTGATGTCTAAGATATATATATATATATATATATATATATATATATATATATATATATATATATATATATATATATATATATATATATATATATATATATATATATATATATATATATATATATATATATATATATATATATATATTGTAAATTAAAATATCCTTAAAAAAAAGAGATGATTTAAATTTTGACTAGTATCACACTTGAATTGTTAATTAAATAATAAAAAGTTTTAACTTTGACACTTTAAAGATATTGCAGAGTTTGAATTCTCCTAGGGAATGGGGAACGCCAGTTGTATAATGAGTGTTAGAGGAACTTGATCATCTCCTACTCCTTTATTTTTCTCTCCTCCCCTCTTCTATCTCTCTATCTCTCTTTTAATATCACTTTCATTTATCAATATAAGACAAAAATATAATCAAGAGGGAGAATGAGATTAAGAGAGAGGCAGTAAGAAAGGAGAGGGGATGTGAGAAAATTGATTGAGAGATCCAAAGTGGTGTTAGAGCTGTACAAATGACAACTATTTCTTTTCTCTGATTTGTATTTTATTTAAAAACTTTCATAATTATTATAAACAAAAATTAATTATTTTTGAACTAATTAATGCTTTCACTTCTAATAAATTTTTTATTTAGTTTTAAAAATTCAATAAATTGGTAGGGAGGACCACAATTTGATTTCCCGCAATTGCATTGCAATCGGGGGAGAGGGTAGAAATTATTTGATATCAAAACTAATTTTTAAACTAGATTAGGCGGTCTAGTGAATCAGATACTGGTGATGAAACTAAAAGAAAAAAAATTCAATAAATTTAATATGGATAGTTGTGAGTTTTTACTTGTTAAGAGTGAACATGTTTTTAAGTAAGAACAATTTTATTGTACATATCTGTTTTGTAGGAATGAGAAAGTGTGTTAAAAATATCACATCAGATATTATATGATATGAGTATGTATATAGTGGAGACAATTGTCGGTTTTTATCACTACTAATATTAGGGACGACAATCAATAGAGTTTGGACAATGAATTATAGTATTTGTCCTCAAACCAGCGGTTTAAAAAAATTTCCGCATTTGAGCCCATATCCATATGGACATCGACGTTTCTACTTGTATTCGTATCCTATAGGTACATTAGTATTCATACTCGTACCTATTTACTTACATTTTTAATAAAAAATATTGATCAATTATAATTTATCATGTGATTTTAATTTTTTAACAACATTTAAATTTTGTTTAGAATGTTATTGTTGAGTTAAGAAATAAACAAACATTTATATTAAAATACGTAGAAATTTAATAGTGATATATTTAATAAATTTGTTAGACTAATATGTGTTGCACCGCAAAATTTGCCCAACTTTTTTCTTTAACTGGTTTATATTTCATTGCATTATCATTTGCATAGCTATATCATTTGCATATCATAACATCATTCATCCAACAGGGGATCAAGTGTGTTTTTGTCAAGAGAAGCCTAGCAAGAGGTCTTAGCCAAACTTGAGAAGTCATCCAAGTCATCAGGAGGTGGTTTGAGGCCTTAAGAGGTTTGAATGCCTCCATATGGAGTTTCTCCTAACTTGAGTATCAATTGAAGACCATCAGTGAGATGTGAAGCATGGATTGTGAATAGAAGATGTGTATAGAGCTCATGGAGTGCCTAGAGGGCCATGTTGGAGCTCAATCAAGTCATTGATTCAAGTGAAAGAGCCACAGCTGAGGTGCAAGCAATTAGGGTTTCATCTGGGTCAACCCTAGGTCAACTGGACAATTGAAGAGTATCAACGCCTACTTTTAGGTTATGAAGTTCATGGAATGATATGTTAAGACATTTGTGGTGTTGTGCCAAGATCAAATCAAGAAGAATCAAGAGTGTGGGAAGTTGCTAAGTTAGGGTTTCAGTGTAAAATCCCCTGTTTAGTGCCTAACTTCAAGACCACATAAGTCAAGATACAAGTTTCAAATGGATCTTTGGACAACATGGAACTTGTAGAGCATCTCAATACTTTTAATTTGAGTACTAGAAGTCCTCCAGTGGATTTATAGAACTCAAGTTATGGTTCAGACAAGTTACAGGTCACCAGATGAATGTGAAATTTATCTGTGAAAGTCACTTGACTTCCAAGCAACTTTTGACCTAGAAAGAGGTTTCACATGAACTTTTGGCTAACATGAAAGTTGTTCCTCATGATCTTAGCTTTCTAAATTGTACTAGAAGTCTTCCATCTGATTTGTAGAACTCAAGTTATGAGGTTTACAAGTCAGGGGTATTTTGGGAAAGTGAGATTATATGTCATTTTCAATCATAGGCCAAAATCTCCAACTTGCACTTGTCAAATGCAATTTTGTTCAACATGAAAGTTGCTTAAAATGTGATTTTAAGTGCAACCAGGTGGTCATTTGGGATTTGTTTGGCTTGTAACAAAAAGTCACTTAAAGTGGCCTAAAAAAGGGAATTTTTCAAATGGATTAAGGAGGGAAAATTGACTTTTTGAGTTAGAGGACCAAAATATGTCATGTGAGTACATTTTTTCAATGGAAATCACATTCTAAGAACATTGACATTGGCAGAATTTTGAGCATATGCCAAGTTTTGGGAGTTGTCATTTGGATTACTTCACCATGAAGTTACATAATCAAAAATAGCCATTGGATCAAATACAAGGAGCAAATCTCAGCCATTCACATTTCACATGTTGTTATTAGTTGAATCGAATCATCTTGAAGCCATTGCATTTCCATTTTCGTGTACCTTCAAGAGCAAAAAGTGGTGAAATTTTGAAAATTCATTTTGGGCCTAGAGGCAAAGATTGGGCTTTCTCTTGATCCATATCTATTGTATATAAGATTTCTAACCTTCACAAATCATTAGTTCTAGAAATTGGAGCAGAATTGATCAAGAACAAGCTTGAAAAAGTGAAGAACACTCAAAAATTGAATTCCAAGATCTAGA